CATATATATATATATATATATGTATACATATATATATATATATATATATATATATAGATATAGATATATAGATTACTTGAACATTTATTTAAGAACTTCTTTTCTTATCCTTTTTAATTTATATAATCACTTTAAAAATTTACAATTCTTTAAATCGTGTATATTATTATTGTTATTATTTATTTATTGTTAAATAAAAAATAATATGATAAAATAAGCAAAATAATTAATAGTTAGGAAGGAAATAAGAAATGTTTTAAATTAAGAAATAAGCTAATTAAAAGAAATGCTCAATTAGTTTTGTTACAAATTAGTTTTTTTTTTTTTTTACATGAACATGGACAAATTTGAATCTGAAGATTCTAAACTACCCATTTTAAGTATCTGATTTTTGCTCTCGAATAATTTAAATGTATAGGTATATCAATGCTGTAAAAAAAGTATAAGTATTTCATCGAAGATAATATATAATGAAGAAAAACTAAAAGTAATGAAAATTATATTAAATATTTGACAATTTAATAAAAAAACGGTAATTACTTATAAAAAATATGCGTGTATATGTTTAGCTTCGTATCAACTGACCAAAGAGGCTTAATTGAAGAAAGAAGTACACTGCTCAAAAATTATATTGAGATGAAGACTTTTTCTTTTGTTTTTTTCGTTTTGCTTGTTCTTTCCATTGTACTCGGTATATTTTATCTTTTTTATTTATTCAACATAATCATTAATTTAAGATTATTATTTTTTAAAATTCTGTTTTGCTTTGAAATAAGTTTTTGAGTTTGAGATTCATTATTTAATATCTAATTGTTTATGTATGCATGACACAGAAAATGGAGGATCATTGAGAGTGATAGAGGTAAAAAAATTGCGAGAAAAAACTATACTACTACTGTGATAATGATTGTGTCAAAGATTGTCCTAAGAAATATGAAAAGACGTCGATTGGTATTTGTAATTGGCCTAATATTGAGTGTATATGTCGATACCAAAATAGTAATTTATGTTTATGTTTTTATTTATTTATTTATTTAAAATTTTTATTTAAATTTATAAAGGAGTTACAATTCCATTTCATCATGAAT